GGGGCACTCAGTTCCTATGTGGCAGCTCCAGACATACCTCAGAACTTAAAATCTCAAATAATTAGTGAATAACAAAACACAAATACTCAGAAATATATTTACAAAAGGTGAAGACTGTGATAGATCTGGTCCACATGAGTTCTGGAACTAGACAAAGCTCCCATCCTTTATTTAAGGGGGTACATCAAAGGCAGGATAAGTTTTCAAGGGTGGGGTCTTGCTTCGTGAAGTGTTACAGTCAGCAGGTTGACATCTTGGCAGGTCACACCCATCTCAGGTGCTGCGTGGGACATGGCAGAGCGGGATAGAGATTCACATTATCCCTGGGAAATTGACCAGATAAAATGTCCACTGGTCATTCCCCGACACCCAGATGTCTCTAGCCACTAGGCTTCCATGTGCAGTGACCCACATGCAACCCATGGATGGCTCTTGATGGCAAAGAGGCATAGAAATTATTCTTTCTTTTTTAATATTTCTTTTTTTAGTTTTAGGTGGATTCAATATCTTTTTTTTAATATTTATTTTTTAGTTTTCGGCAGACACAACATCTTTGTTTGTATGTGGTGCTGAGGATCGAACCCGGGCCGCACACATGCCAGGCAAGCACGCTACCACTTGAGTCACATCCCCAGCCCTGGACACAATATCTTTATTTTACATTTATGTGGTGCTGAGGATCCAACCCAGTGCCTCGCGCATGCTAGGCAAGCACTCTGCCACTGAGCCACAACCCCAGCCCCTAGAAATGATTTTTAGTATCACTTATCATGAGAAAAGCACAAAGTAAAACCTTGAGATGCACTGCACACATACTAAGCTGCTAAAGTCTTTCCTTAAGTACAGAATCCACATTGAAGATGATGAGCAGCCACGGGCATTCTCATACATTGCTGGTGGAGTACACAATAGTTCATCACTATCAAAAAGATAACCATTTTTTCCAAAATTAGACAAGGTGTCACCATATGATCCTAAGAATATAGAGAATTGCCTCAAAAACACATATCTAGATAACAGCAAGCAATTACATATAGTATTTCTATTCACAATGGCCCAGTACCTTAAAGAATCTGGATGTGCTTCAATGGTTGAACAAATAGCAGAATTGCCATGAATCCATGCCATGGAGGCCCTGGGGGTCTCTGAGCTCCCCTACGTCTCCACACCTGGACCATGTGGTCTGACTTTACCTTTGCACACCTTGCAGAAGGAAAAGTGGGTTATATATGAAAATACCTGTAAGATGCAGGCTCGGATGCCCACTGGACCCAGATGGCCATTTAAGGGAGTGAGTGTAGAACAGGCTGGGGGCTATACCCCTCTTCTCAGAGTGGCCCAAGACAAGGTCAGAAGGGTAAAGGGGAAGGGGGGCTGGCTGTCAGTAAACTGAGGGTGGAGGCCTCTCTCCACAGGGGCTGAGCACAGGTGCTAAGGAAGGGCCTCCTGCCTCCATCCAAAAGGGCCTCTGGCCACTGCACAGATGCCCTTTCCCAGGTGGTCCAATCCCAGTCAAGGGTCAGCTCAAGGGAGTTTAGTCCATTTCCCCCAAAATGGACATGATACAGCTAGATGAGTTTCAGGACTGAGCAGTTTCAGGACTGAGCCCACTGCCTGTCCAGCAAAATGACCTGGAGGTCCTCACCCAGTCTCTGTCTCTGACTGACCACCTCCTCACAGACTTCACCCTACTGAATTCTAGACCCTACTTCTACAGGTAAGGCCACAGGCTGAGGGCTCTGCATGTTTCCTGGGAGGGCTGACAGTTGCCACATCCTGTAGCAGGCCAAGGCACAGTAGTCACTCCCTCTGCCCTGACTCTGGGGGGGCCTTCCTGGTGGGGGACACAGGGGCCCAGTCCTGGTGTTTGCTGGAAGTCTTTAGTGTTCCTTGTCTTGCAATATTAGGTATTCCTCCAACTCTACACACCCTGCTGAGTTCAGGGAACCTGGGAGGCCAGGACCAATGCCCAGTTTTGAGCTACAAATTCTATTTTTGGAAAAGTCTCAAAAACAGGGCTTCCTGTTGAGAGAGAAGAAAGAGCTTCTGCATGATAAGCTGGAGACATCCTGAAGGGCCATCCACATTCTCAGCTCAGGACCCCACAGGAACTAACCCCTTGTAAGGCATGAGCCTGGAAAATCTATTCCCAACTCTGGAGAGAAATCCAGGGTTTGAGGCAGAGTTGAGTCAGGAAGGGGACACCCTGGTTTCCTGGGAAGTGACTGCTCCCTCCCCTCTGCTGCCAGGCTCCTCCCTTGGCCTCTCCTGGGTCCTCTCCTAGTTTCCTCCAAACTCTGCAGCCTCAGAGGTAAAAGCAAGACAGGGATGTGTGTGTGTGTGTGTGTGTGTGTACATGTGTGCTTGTTTGTGCACATATGTAGTATGCATGCATGCTCATGTGTCATGGGCATGTCATGGGCATGTGGAGGGATGGTTTTGAGGGTGTATGTATATGTGTGTCTGCACATGTGTGCATGAGGGATGCCAGTCAGGAAAGAAATGCACTGCCTTCCTCCAGGGGAATCCAAGATCCTTATCCTCCCTCTGCAGAAAAGACAAAAATGGAAAAACACTTTCTTCTTTTGAAAAGTTCGGGAAAAGAAATAAACCAGTGACATATTTTTTATTACAACCCACACACCTGGTCAAAACGCAGCCCAGCTCAGGGTCTTCATCCCCTGTCACTGTATGCTCCGTCCTGAGTTGTTGGAAGGGCTGGAATTAGGGCTCCCCCTGCCCAGCAGAAACAGGATTAAAATGAGCTGATGTTTCCCTCAGAAGAAGGAGTTGAGCAGCAGGAGGACTGGAGAAGAGGGCATTGCCCAGACATTTGGAGCATGGAGAGACCAGCCTCTGGTCTGGGTCTGACATTTTTCATGAGGTTAGAACAGAGATCTCAGTCTGAAGTGTCCCAGGGCACAGTGATGGAGGCAGAGACTCAGAAGCTAGCAAGCTGCTCAACATCAACTTGGCTGTCACCGTGGAGGCTCTGCTGTTCCCACCATCCTGACCTTACCTGAGCCCAGATGCCCTGCAGTCTTCTAGCTCAACCCGCTTTCCAACACCAGGCCCACTTTCCTTGATGCCCCCCCCCCATCAAAACCCATACTGCTCCACAATTTCTCTTCAGCTTCAAATTCAGAACAGTCTCAATGCTGGTGTGATTAGCAAGGTAGATCAAATGAAACAAAGGTTATCTTTAGTACAGGGGGAGCCAGTGTGTTTAATTCCCAGGGTTGCCATAATAAAGCACAGAAATGTGTGTGACTTAAACCAAAAACCTACTATCTCACAGTTCTGGAGGCCAGAATTCTGAAATCAGGGTGTCAGCAGGGTAATTCTTCCTCTGAAAGCTAGTGCAGAGGGTCCTTCCGCACCTCTTTAGTTTCTGGTGTTTGCTGTAAGTCTGTAGTGTTCCTTGTTTTGCAATATTAGAGAAAAAATTATCCAATGATACTTATTAAAGCACAGGGAAAGACTTTATTCAGGATTACTGCAAGAAAAACAGAGACCCAAGCCCTATGCTTGACCATGCCAAACACTGTTGTTGCCCAGGGACCAGGTACAGCAGGGGTCACAGTTTACACAGAGCACATGGCATGTGACATAAGTGCCCAAAGACTTGGGTCACAGGCCAGAAACAGGAACCACCATAAAAGCCACTGGGTAGTATAGTCTAGTGTTTTGCCTGCACAACCCTCATTCTGGGGGACCTTAGGGGTTACAGGATACATTCACCTGGATAGCCCAGAGGGGATAATGACACTCTATGAGGTGGCTGTGCAGGTCAGGTGAACATATCTTCACAATAGTGGAGGTGGAAAGTCACAGCCTTCTCTCCTACTCTACAGTCTCTCCTTAAAGGGCTGCAGAGCATTCTGGTGCATTAGAGGCTCATTTACTTAACTGGTCCCCAGTAGGTCAGTCTGGCTGCTTCTGGTCTCTGGCCCTAAGGGCATTCGCCCCAACACTCATGAGCAACTCCTGGAGTCATCTTCTTAAGTAGAAGCCCAGCCAAGTGTGTGTGTTCACACCTCAAGTGATGTTCCCTTAACTACCTCAAGAGTGGTTTCCACTGAACACACAGCCTTTGCTGAGGGGGCTTGTAGCTCTACCCTGAAGGAGTCTGATTCCAGACCTACAAATAATCCACACTTATTCAGCTCACTGTTGCATAATTAGAACTGCAACTTGGCAAGGAGAAAAACGATCCCATGTGCCAGAGCAAGACAACTAGTAGCTAACATCCAGGTGTAGATTTTTTCAGATTTTAAATATAGAAAGCCTCTGCTTTTTTTTTTAAGAGAGAGAGAATTTTTTAATATTTATTTTTTAGTTTTCGGTGGACACAACATCTTTATTTTATTTTTATGTGGTGCTGAGGATCGAACCCAGCACCCCGCGCATGCCAGGCGAGCGCGCTACCGCTTGAGCCACATCCCCAGCCCAAGCCCCTGCTTTGTATAAACCACATGATTCTCTACATGCCACACATTGATACAATGATGGAGTCACACCCTGCACAGCATCTCTGGCTTGCCTCCTCTTCTACAGAGCGCGTTCCTCCTGCCCTATCAACATGGAAAGGAGGGAGGACAGAGTGCAGCAAGGTGGGGGTCAGGGTCAGGACCTTCACCCTTCCTATGACAGCCTCTCAAACTCCTAGGGAGTTGCTCCCATGTTATAGCTGAGGAAACTGAGGAAAGGACACTTGACCGTTGGGGTAGTCAGAACTGGAAACCCTCCTGGCCCTGATGAGGGCCTTCTATCAAAATTTTGGGAATCCAGAGGCTACACTGGCCCAGCGGTGGCACTGTGCACTCGCCCCAAGCGGTCTGGGATAGATGTAGTGCCTGACCTCTGACCACACACCCCGCCCCCCACCCCGTTAACCAGCCACGCCCAGACCACGCCCCCGTGGGCCAGGCTTCGCCCCCAGCCCAGGGCCCACACCTACGCCTCACGTTTGTACTACTGACCCCAACCTCCACTTGGTATCCCTCCTGGTGGACATGGCGGTGGAGGGGGAACAGAGGCTCAGGCCTACGGACTGGTGGGACAGGACGGGGGGCGGGGGTGAGGGGCCCGGGTGGCCAGTGCCTCTGCCAGTGCCTCGCAGTACCGGGATGAGAGCTGCAGGTCACGACAAGAGCTCCAGGGCAGCCCCGCGGCTGCTGACATTACAGCGACATCTGAGCTGCCCCGAGGTAAGCGGCACAGGCCTGGACACCAGAGTTCCTGTCTCCTAGGGAGTCATATGCTCCCATGTTTTAGATGAGGAAACTGAGGAAAGGACACTTGACCGTCGGGGTAGTCAGAACTGGAAACCCTCCTGGCCCTGATGAGGGCCTTCTAGCAGAATTTTGCCTGGGCTGTAAGCTCCTAGGGCACTCACGAACCAGAGTCGCAGGAGAGCTCTGGGTTCTGGGAAAACAAAGTCACGGACAGGTTGGAACTGAGGGGCTGGAGGGAAGAAAAGTGGGGGTCTTTAGTGGGTGACAGTGGAAGACAGAGCAGCGTTGTTTGCAAACCTGGTACCTCCTCCTGCTACTCAGCAGTTCCAGTGACCCTTGCACTGGGCCTGACTTCCAGGCATTTGGGCTGTTTACTCTTATCACAGAGATGTGGACAGACTGGGGCCTGTGTACAGAGGCCCTCGGGAGCTCACCCTGCCCCTCTTGTGATCCAGAGCAGTGGCCAGGAGCCTGAGGACAGCCCGTTGACCATACATGTGCTTGACACTGCCTCTGGGCTCCCAATCCCCGGCCTCTGCCTCCATTTGTCCCAGCTTGAAGACCTCAGCCAGCAGTGGACAGAGCTAAGAAAAAGGTAGGAGGTAGGCCCTGGGGATGGGAGGGAATCTAGAGCACCTGCTCCTCCAGCACCAGCCCTTCCTGAGTCCCACCCTGGGACACATCCCAGACAGTCCAGGAGTGAGGGCACTGAGGCCTAGAGGACAGAGATGACTGCTGCTCAACTGCCCCCTCAGCCTGGGGGCCCACAGGTTCACAGCCTGGCCCCTCCCTACTGACTCTCTCAGCTTCACTTTCCTCACTGAAAACCACAGGACAATGGAAGTAGATGTCTCACCAGGTGTGAGCATCCTGGGACAATGCCATAGAATGGGCTGAGGCCTGCTGGGGTAGGGGCAGTGTGTGTTTCCTTGCCACCATGCCCATGGCCTGAATTAATACCCGAGGTGGCAGCTAAAAGGCCTCACTGTCCGCCTGGTTAACAGCAGGCTGAACACCCAATTTCTGCTTTTATTCTCCGTATGCCCTCTGGGTAGGAAACAATAATTACCATTTTACAGATGGGAAAACAGGTGGGATGAAATAAAAGCTGGGCTTCCTCAGCCTGATGTGCTCACAGAGCCCAGGCCTTGGGCCCCTGCTCCCTGCACAGGCTCTGCTGGAGAAAACCCTTGAGTTTGGCTCTATGAGTGGGTTTCCCAAACCCTCCATCTTGAAGGAGGCAGGCTCCAAGCTTCAAGAGACTCTCTTCCACCCCTGGGAGTGGGTGGGCAGCGGGAGCAGGTTACAGAAAGGAGGATAGGCGCTACAGGTTCAGGGTCAAGGATGGGGCTTGTTTTCTACCTGTTCAGCTTTTCACAAAAGTCAGGGGGTGCCATTCGTAAGGGTGCACATCTGTAATCCCAGCAATTCTGGAGGCTAATGCAGGAGGATAGCTAGTTCGAGGCCAGTAACAGCAATTTAGTGAGACCCTGCCTCAAAATAAAAATTAAAAGACTGGATATAGCTCAGTGGTAAAGCACCCCTGGGTTCAATCCCAGTAATAAAAAAAGAAATGAAAAGTTTGGGGATGAGGGACAAGATCTCATCTGAGCATTACTTCAAGTCAGCATGGCACTGCGCAGACCTGGAGTCCCACCCACCACAATGTGCACGTGCTTCCTCTGCCCCTCTCACCAGTGAGACACGCTTTACAGTCCAGCTGGTCACATGATGTGGGGTTTTGAAGAGGAGACTTAGCCAAACCACAGGCCTTTAGAACTCTCCATGAGGGATCAGCCCACTCCATGTGGACCCTTTGTGCTGTTGGAAATGGGCCACCATGTAGATAGGCAGTTATTGACCCAGAAAGCCACACACAACACACTACGTGAAAATACAGCTTATGAAACATGAATAATTTGTTTTGTAAAAATGTTTGTAAATACAGGCTGGGGTTATGGCTCAGTGGTAGAGCTCTCACCTAGCCATGTGTGAGGCACTGGATTCAATCCTCAGCACCACATAAAGATAAATAAAGGTATTGTGTCCATCTACAACTAAAAAATATTTTTAAATATGTTTGTAAATAAACATAGTTAAGCTTAGAAAAAAATCTAAGAAAAACATGCCAAATTTGAAGTGATTATTGCTCATAGGTTAAACTGGGAGATTTTTCCCTTTTTGCTTCTTTATTGATTTCTTAAAGAGGCAGTGCAACAATGTCTCTAGAAACTGCCCCACAATCTCTGTTCAGCCATGTCTGCATCAGCCTGCACAGTGTCTGAGGCCAGGGGGTCAGACCCAGGGGGGATGGGGAAGGGTGGCTCCACATCTGACCTCAGCAGCCCATCCTCTCCCCAGCTACACAGACCCAGATGGCCACTGCCCTGGGCTCCTGAGGACAGGCCAAATGAAGCCAGGCACCTATAAGCTGTCCTTTGACACAGAGGGCTACTGGAAGGAGATGGGGCAGGAGAGCTTCTACCCATATGTAGAGGTGAGTGCCATGGCAGGTGGAGAGGGTGGAAGCCCTGACTCACTGACCTGCAGGCCAGGCTTCATGGGCAAACTGGTCCCACTTCTCTCAGGGAGGTGGCAGGCACATGAGTTTGCCTGCTTTGAGTTCCTACAAGAAAGGGGTCCTGGGACCTGGGGCATCAAGAGACTCCGTGTCAACATGCCCAGCCATGAGCATCCATGAGTCAGGCTTGGGGGGTGATTCACCCCCTCTTCATAGATAGTTTCCATCTACACCAACTCTAGCTCCTGGGCCTTCCCTTACTGCTCCCCCCACCCCCTCCACCTGGCTTTTTCCACATCCAGCATGCCCGGAGGAGGACTCAGCCCTCAGGAAGCTTCTAATCCACCACTGGGTTTCAGCTAACCCTTCCCCACCATCTAGGCCGCTTTCCCAGGGAGCATTGAGGGCAGGTGGCTCCTGTGCTGTGGTCCCTCACTGTCTTCTGGTGCCTTTCTGCTTCTCTCAGATTGTTTTCACCATCATCAATGAAACCCAGAAGTTCCACCTGCCTCTGCTGCTGAGCCCATGGTCCTATACCACCTACAGAGGGAGCCAGAGCTAGAGGGCAGCTATGACTCCGGTGGATAAAGCCAGTGCTGCATCCACAGACCTACTCCTGATGGGTTGCTGTGATTCAGGTCAATAAACTCTGGTTGCATCTGCAGTGCTTGTGTCCCAGCCAGAGTGTGGGTAGGTTACCTTGGATCCTCCCAGCCCTTCCTCAATCATAAATGAATCCTGTAGAGTTGGCTTCTTGATAGCTCTTAGACCTCTGCTCCTCACCCGTCCCAGCCTGGCCTGCTGTCTGGCCCTGTGTTCCCCATCTGATCCTCATACCAAGACTCCTTCATGGTTTCCATCTAGCCCTACACACTGGGGTTTGGCAGACGCCTTTTACAATCACCCTCAGCCCTGCATCCCGAGAGCTGGGTGTTCCCTAGGCAGCTCAGGGGTTGCTCACCTCAAAGCCTAGTATGCAGCCTTGGTCAGGATGGTGAGAGTGGGTGGGCGGGTGGTACAGCAAACCCAGCTGGAGTGCTGTAAACAGGGATGAAGAACCTTTACACACAGCTAATCCTTTGGTCCTGGAATTTTTGTGTTGGGCAGAAGGCATTAATGGTCAGCCAAACTGTGTGCTGATGAATCACCTTGGAAAAGCTACCTGTGGTACTTCTCAGAATGAAAACACCTCCACAGATAGTGAGGGACCCTCAAGTCCATGCTGCACATCTGCCTCTCTGCAGCAAGCCTGGCACCAACAACAGAGATGCCTGTGGGTGGAGGCTCTGAGCCTAGGAAATACATTTAGGATCCCATCAGTGAAGCAAGATGTAAGGCACAGTTGGGATTGCAGACATTCTTTAAGCCAGGCACAGTGACACATGCCTGTAATCCCAGCAGCTCGGGAGGCTGAGGCAGGAGGATTGTGAGTTCACAGCCAGCCTCAGCAATTTAGCAAGGCCCTAAGTAACTCAGCAAGACCTTGTCTAAAATATAATATAAAAAGGGGTGGGAGGACCTGGGGTTGTGGCTCAGCGGTAGAACGCTTGCCTAGTATGTGCAAGGCACTAGGTTCAATCCTCAGCACCACATAAAAAATAAAATAAAGGTATTGTGCCCAACTATGACTAAAAAACAAACAAACAAAAAGGTTTGGGGATGTGACTCAGTGGTTAGGCACCCCTGGGTTCAATCCCCAGTATCAGAAAAAAAAAAAAAAGTATAACAAATAGATATTCTTTATTCAGAGGCAGCGGCAGCCCCCAGCCTCCAGCACCACCCCCATTTTGCCCCAAGTCCTTCCATAGACCTTTTTTTTTTTTTAAATGCAAGCCAGACAAAGAAGTCACATTGTCCACAGGTTACATAAGTGGGTGCAGGTTCACAGACAAATGTCTACAACCTTGAGTACATACACTGAATCAGGGTGCTCATGACCTTGGCTACATACTAAATACATAACCCAATGAAATCTCCACAACGGAGCCTGACTATAGCCATCTTGGGTCTGCCCTACATGTCCCTGCCCTAGAAGCATCTACCCCTTGATGAGCTGGCCTCCCCTCAATGGGCCTGTCAAAGGCTCAGAACCAGCTGTTTCTAACTCAGGAGCAGCAGCCGTGTCTAGGAGATGACACTGTGTTTGTCTCCAAGGGCTCCAGTACAGCTGCACCTGGACGCTAGCCATGGGCCTGGAAGCCACCAGTCAACCCAGCTGGTGTCGTCAAAGACCCCTCACCCTGTGTCACCTGTTTCTTCTGTAACTGCTCCAGACAGGTGGATGGAGCAGAAGGCCTGGCCAAGCACTAGAAGCTTGACAGGCAGGTGTCAGAGGAACCAGGAAGTTCTGTTGGAGGTTCCAGCTTCCTGATTCTTCAGCTGAGAAACTCCTGTCCTCAGCTGGCCCTTGGGGGTCGAGACCTCACCAATTTTGTTTACTGCTATTCCCACCCATGCCCAGGACAGTCCTAGCAGAGCAGTGCCACATGGAGGAGTGGATGTTTTGAGTTCTGCTCAGACCTCACTCCCCCAGAACTCAGGAAGAGAGTAAGGGACATGTAAGTCCCTGGTACCCACAGCCTACATGTTTCCCATTGTTAACTGTATGCCTACCAAACCAAGCATCCTGGGGCCTCCTAGTGCTGTGGCCACCCCCCAGGCCTGTGTCTAAGTCCATCATCAAGTGACTGAGGGACTTGGGCCCACAGATTCCAAGAGCACCTTTTCTGTTCCCAGGACATCTTTGGGCTCTACTTGGTGACAGGAGCCTGGCCTACCACAATGAGCCACTGGAGAACTGGAATTGCAAGGCTGAGAGGTTATGAGGTGCCATGAGGTTAAGGAGGGGTCAGCAAGACCCAAGAGCAAGCAAAACCCCTGAAAGGAAACTGCTGGCACACGCAGGCCTGAGGCACAGATACCTGCAGCACCTTTGCCCTGCTCTCAGGTTTCAGGAAACCCTCCTCCAGGGGTAACTGAGAGGTCACCTCTGTGCTTATCTCAGGGGGCAGAACACAGAACCAAAGGGTCCCACCACAGGAGACAAGGCCACCTACTGTGGGTAGGAGGGGGGCAGCCACCAGCCCTGCCCCAAGAACCCCTAAGTCTACCTCAAGCTTGCGGGACATGAGCCTCAGTACTGCAGGATCTATGCTGGAGGTCACCAGTGCCTTGGTGAACTACACCTCCCTCTTCTCCATGGCAGTATTCAGTGCCTGCAGGTGGCACTCCAGCACCAGGTTCCAGAAGTCTGTCTTCTGCCTCACCTCCTGGATGGCCACTATGAACTTCCAGTAGAGCTCATCCTGCTCCCGCCACATCTGTGCAGACCAGACTGTGAAGGGCCACAGGTTCCTCACCCAGGATGTCTCCCTGGGGAGAAGCCACTTCCCACCTCTGCCCCTGTGTGGGGCACACTGCCTCTATAATGGCACACATTTTCACTAGTGCCCCAGTCCGTGGCATATGGGTAAGTGTGCTCTTCACACTGCCTGCACTCCACCCTCTGTGCACAGAATCAAAGGTGTACAGCTGTCTACACAGTGGGAGACAGGGGAAACATTAACATGAGCCCTCCTGCAGGAAACAATGGGCTGTCCTAGTAGGAGCTGAACGGCCCCACCCTGAAAGCTGCTCTACAGATGGGCAAGGCCAGCCTTGCCTGAGTTAAGGCTGTGGGCTGAGGTGAGGCGTATCCCTGATCGCCCCGAAATGAGAGCCAGGGCATCATACTACCAGCAGGCAATGTTTGCAAGAGGGTCCTCGGAAACTCTACCTGCCTTCAAAATGCCCCACAGGGCAGGTGTAGAGCAAGCCTCACAACAACCACCTGCTGACCAGTAGGACTGTCCCTTCTCACCTTCTACCCTTCTTTCTCTTAATAAGAATTAGAAAACATTGAGACTTTATAGTGAAAGTAAACACCTCTCTAACCCCAATTCCTGGAGGCCACCATGTAATCATTCAGTGACCCTTTTCAGAATGTTCCCTACAGAAGTGAAAATATTTATTCTTACTAGGAAGGAAACAGGATTGTGCTGTCACACTGCAGCTTTCCACACGGAAGTGTTCCTTAGAGCACAGCCAGGGCAGCACATGCATGATCCCATATCCCCAACTACTATACAGAGTCCCACAGACCTGCCCACAACTGCTGAGAGTCAGAATGGCCCCTGGCATTTTGCCAGAAGTAATGGTTGAGAGGCGAGCCATTAAGATGATGGTATTAAGTTAAGCTTAATTATAATTGCTGTGACTGGATGATGCTGGATTGAAACAGGCTGTGTATTCAATTGTATATTAGACCTTTACTGTCCGGGCACCCGCTACTTTGGAGTTCCCGTTGAATTCTCGCGGGGGTTTCGAGAGTGAGTGCATTCTCTCCTGGAACACCACAGCCCGGTGGTATTCCAGGAGAGTGCCAGGTGGGAGTTCCGGTTGGTGTGTGGTGTGTTCCTGGAGGAGCCGTGTGGGTGGTATTCGGGAGAGTTCCCGGGGAGTGTGCTGGTGGAGATCAGAAATAAAGTTTGTTCCTGCTTGAGTGGCTCGTGATTTGTGCCCAGCCAGACCACGGCACACAACCAATCCCCTGTCAGCAGATTCAGCTGACAAATCTGAGCTCCACGCCTCACTCACCTTGAACCACTGCTGCAGCTGCATACCTCTCAGTCTTTCTTTGGATCTTAAAATGTGATTTCATGTGCTGGAGAACAGAGAGTGGGGGATAGAAAGCATTCAGGATTTACATGCATGCATGTAAAAGCATTCAGGATTTACAGGCTTCTGGGAGTCAGCAAGACCAGAAATAATGGCTAGAAGCAACTGGCTTGAAGACTCCAGGAGCTGGGCCCCACCTAGGCCAGACAGTGGGATATGTGGAAGAACAAGGCCTCATCTCCCTCAGCACCCACCCACTACTGAGCCTCAGAATAGTCAAAGGAAAGAGAGATCCAGCATCCCCATCTCTCCCTTCCTGCCCTAAGGGCTGAGCCCTACTTAGGAGATATCCTCAGATATGCCTTCTTTCCTGAGCCCAGGAGAGCATGTGTCATGGAGAGAACAAACACATCAGGTCACTCATAATCATGATCTGCCTGTCCCTTTCATAGTTCCCAACCCTCCTCTGCCTTTCTCACTCATCTCCTGTGACTGAGCACCTCAGCACCCTGCTGGGGAGTGTAACTCAGTCACCCATAAGCTTGGCCTCCCACATATTCCCCCTTTCTTAATATAAAAAAAGAATGTAACTGGGAAATTTTCTTTCAGTCACTTGGCTCTTGGTCCAAGGTCATCACAACCTGCTATTGAAACACAAAAAGAATTAGTAGAAAACATATTATCTTCATAACAGTCAACACAATAATCTGGATGATTATTACCTTGCCAAACACTCATCAGAAGATTTTTGATCTTTTCCCAATTTTATTGGGGCGCATTGTTTTTGGCCATAGTAACAGACATTTTCATTGCCATGGCATTTAGGCCTCTCCATAAACCATAGAGCAAAGGGCTCACGCACATTATTCATTACATTGTCTTCTAGAACATCATTACTTAGTTCTCATCCTTCCATTAGCACTTATCTGACCATGAAGGAAGTTGGATGTAATTTAAGTCAAACATTAAGAAAATCCATACATTGTAAGTTTTAAGACATAGCTACAA